CCTGATTTAATGTGTCTAAAAAGCCTATCTAATTCCCATCCCCCACACAAGAATGTAACAGGGAAAACCAAAAAATTTTTCAAAAACATTAGCAACATGTCTAAAGCAGGTAAAGCACCACCAACCAAACAAACAGGGTCACTGATCTCATGCTACTGTCCTTATCCCAACAGGGCTTTCTTCAGGTCCCAGCTCACTCAACCCCTCTCTGCCTAATATATGCCTTTCCCCTCTTTTAAAGTGAAAAGGCCCCCAGGACTGAAACATTTTTCTAATAAATATGTCATAGTGCTTGCTTATGTGTCTCTCGAACCCAACTTGAGGGTTTTTTATTACCAAGGTTTTACCACGTGTAATATCGTTAGAACCTCAACCTACAGGTAGTCACGATGTTAGCAACCATGACCTACATTGTAGTATACTGTTAGTAACCACAATATTACGTGAAAAAAACACAGTTTTTGAAAACCTTTAAACCCCTACAGTGTAGTAAAAAAGTTAGTAATGTAGTGCCCTAATCACTCACTTATTTACCCCTATTCCCCTAGGGAATTTTGATGGGCCCTAAACAAAATAAACCATCTCAGACCTTTAATTCCCCAACAAAAGGCTGCAGTCAAATGATAACAAATCCCTACAGGCGCACACCCACCAATAATCAAAACCCAAACTACTCACCTACAAAACTCCTACTTATTACTGACCAAATTACATCATGAAAACTGAACTCAATACAACCCTCCCCCAAATTTTCCCTTACCAACCTAACAAAACATGACCATAACACAAGGCACGATCATCTTTTGATTTCCCCTGTGCCATTCACGCTCTGCAAAACCAATGCACAAAAAAGGCCCTAAATCTGGAATTCATATTTTTTTTTTTTTTATATACATGGCCGATTCCCCCCAAGGCAGGGGGGCCCAAAAAAAAAAAACTTTCACATCATTCACTCCATCACTGTCTTCCCAAAAGGGGTGCTTTACACACAGTTTTTAAACGCAACTTTAACACCCCTCCTTCAAGTGCAGGCACTGTATTCCCATTCCAGGACCAGTCCGGCCCCCCGGTTTTTCCCCCTGAATCCCTTCATAAATGTTACTTTGTCACACCCCAACAGCACGTCAGTTTTAAAAACCATTTGTCTCCATTATCCTATAAAACACGCTCACGCTGCCGCGGGAAGTCCAACCCCCTCGCACAAAAAACCCCCTTTCCCCGCCCCTCCAACCCTTCCTAGGCCGAACCCCCCGCTTCCCTTCCCTACGCTGATACACTCTGAAGTCATTCGTTTCGCTCCTTCTCTCTACTGTCCAACCACCTCAAAAACCCTTCCTCAGCCTCTGGACAACTTTTTTGGGAAATCCCGCCCCTCCCCCTAATTTCCAAACTAACGAATTCTCTGCATTATATTCACACCACACATTCCCCTCGACAAGACTCCCCACTGCCTCCAGCCTTCCCTCGCTGCAACATTCATCCCCCCACGTTCAAACCCATTAAGAGCGTTGGTAAAACTATACTCTCATCTTTCCCCCTTTTTTGCCTCCAGGAAAAATTTTCTTGTCTCCACAGACCCCTAAGTGCACCACTCACCTTTTCCCTATCAATTCTTGATTCCCCCTCATTTTTTCATAGACCCATCCCTGAATGTCCACTCCAATATCTAAATACGTTCCCTCCTCCTACTCTCCCCTCCAATTGATTTTCAATCTTTATCACCTAATCTTTTTTTTTACCCCTAAAAACCTTACTCTTTCCTTATTCCCTTTTAATTTTCTTCTTTTGCACACCCTCCCAAAATTCTCAACCAATCTCTGCAACTTCTCTTCAAACCCCCCCAAGAGCACAGTTCATAGCAAAGAGATTTGGACAACCCCCCTTTTGTGTGGTTTTTTATTTTTTTAACTCCACGCCTCTTCCCAAACCCCGCATTTACTTTCTTCAACCCCATCTATAAAATTAAAAAAACCCCCGGTGACATCACACATCCTTGTCAAAGGGCCCTACTTTTACGGGGAAAAAATTTCCCCCTTTTTCCTACATACTTAACTTGAGCCTCACTACCCGAAAAACTTTTCACTGCTTCGAAACCCCCCCTCCTACCCCATACACTTGAAACTCTCCCAAAATTCCCCCCCTATCCCCCCTTTTTCAACCCTTTTCCAAACCAAATCCCACAAAGACCCTTTAGCCTTATCTAAATATGTTCATTAATGTTTCACTGTAAACCACCTGGTCCACACACCTCCCCTTCTAAAGCCTCCTTTTTCTCTGCCCCTTTTTCCCCGTTTACTTTAAATTTCTTTAATTATAACTCTACCATACATTTTACCAGTACACTCAACGATTACCCCCCCCCTTTTTAATTTTTGAAACTCTCTTTTACCCCCTTTCCCTTTTAAAACAAAAACACATGCTCTCTGCAACCCCTAGGTACCTTACCCCTTTCCATACTTTTATTAAATAATTGCACCCCCACTCCAAAACATATCCCCCCCTGCTTTTAACATTTCTATTTTTATCCCATCAACCCGGTGCCTTACCCTTTCATTTTACCTACTCCCTCAGAACTTCCCCCACACTCACAACTCTTTCCTCACCCTACAAGAATGTTATTCCTCTGCCCTATACACGAATCACAGGTTCCCTATCTTTCATCAATTTAACATTTCCCCTCAAAATATTCCTTCCATCTTCCCAATACCTCTAACTCCATTTAAAAACTCTCCTTTCCCCTATTTTTAACTGACAAATCCAATTGTTCTCTAGGCTTCTTAACTTGTTAATCTCATCCAAAAACTTTTTCTTATTTTCAACAAATTGTTGATAACAACTCACCACTCTTCTTTGCTCTCTTTTACATTGCTTTCAACATCTCACTTAACTTCTCTCTTTTTCTCCATATACTCTTCCCTCCTTGCATCACTTCTCTTTGTAAAAACTTCTCATATGCTAACTTTTTCTCCCTTACTACTCCTTTAAACATCATCATTCACAAATCGCTCCTTTCCTCCTGCCCCAAATTTCCTGTAACCCACAAACTCTGCTGAACACTCTAACACTACTTTTTTTAAACCTACCCTTACCTCTTCGACCCCATGCCTATGCTCTCATTAGCCACTATCCTCCAATAGCTGTTTATATCTTACCCAACTGCCTCCTCTTTTAAAGTTTATAAACCTCACCTCTCTCTTCCGATTCTTCTATTCTCCTTTATCCCATTAACCTTTTACTCTAGTGTGCTACAATTTGAAAGTGATCGATATATCGTGGCCTTATTAACATGTCATCCTGAATTCTACTCACAGCTTTTATCTACCAAACATAATCCAACAAACTACTGTCTTTCGCCCTACTCATATCGTGTATATTATTTAAATTCCTCTTTTTCTTAAAATATGTTTCCCTAAACTAACCCCTTTCTATAAAAAGTTAAAATCAAGGCTCCCATTATCATTTACACCTGCACCCAAACTTACCTACCACACCCTCTCTAAAAGTTTCTCCTACTTTTAGCATTCAAGTCCCAAACCACAATTACCTTCATTTGGGTTTTCAAAGGCTCCTATACATTCACTTAACATCTCCCAAAACTCTCTCTCCCTCTGTTTCCCTTTCCTTTCCCCAGGTGCATACACCTTTATTATGAACCCACTTCTGCACCCAACCTTTACTTTAATCACATAATTCTTGAATTTACACATTCAATTCTCTTTTCTCTCCTTCCATAACTGATCATTTAACATTACTGCTACCCTTCCTTTGCTCTAACTCTCTCAGATACTCCAGATTTAATCCATTTATTTCCCCCACTGAAACTTCCTACCCCTTGGGCTTTGTTGCTTAGGGCCAGGACCCAACTTCTTTCATTCATAACATCAGAAATCATCTGTTTCTTGCATCCGCACTACATCACGCACTTTTAAAGCAACCCAGTTTAAAAAGTTTTTCTTCTTCTCTTTTAAGTAATTGTATACAGGAGAAGGGTTACTAGCCCATTCTCCCGGCATTTTAGCGCCTCATAGAACGCATGGCCCTTACGAGAAAGTTCTTTTCCCCCTTTCCCCATGGACAATAGAGAAATAAAAAGAACAAGAGCTATTTAAAAAGGAAAAACCTAGATGTATGAAATATATATATGCATGTGCGTGTCTGTGAAGTGTGACCAAAGTGTAAGTAGGAGTAGCAAGATATCCCTGTTATCTTAGCGTGTTTAATGAGACAGAAAAAGAAACCAGCAATCTCCCCCATACATGCAAAACAGTTACAGGTTTTTGTTTCCCAGTCCATCTGGCAGGACGGTAGAAATTTCCCGGGTGTTGCTGTCTACCAACCAACTACTATAGGAATTCATTCATTATCTGTAAATATAAAAGAAACACTGTCTGTTTATAAATTCAAGTCTCTTCTCAAAAATCACTTACTCACCCACAACCAAATAAATATTGAATAATTGTATCTTAAAAATTTTATCTCATAAATGTTTCTCATAATTGTATCTCATAAATGTTTAACCTGATACCCAATCAAACTTTGTTATTTTTTAATTACATTACCTAACAGAATACTCCATTCTACTGAATGCTCAGAAACACAGTAAATAACCATATGACCTGCCTTTGTAATTCTCATTTATGCTAAATTGTTATCTGTTTACAATAATGTTTTACCACTGAATATATCATTGCTTAGTTATTCTTAAGTTAATTTTAAGCCTGCCTATAATGCTCTGCATACAAGGGGCTTTGGCATGTTGCACTTAACTGTATTCATTTGTACTACTCTGTATCATGTTCAAATTAATAAATAAATAAATAAATAAAAATAAATAAATAAAACCATCAACACTACAGTGTAGTACACTGAGTGTTAATAACCATTAATGCTACAGTGTAGTATACTCAGTGTTAGTAACCATCAACATCACATCCTACACTGTATACTCAGTGCATGTCAAGTCTGAGTGTTATATTACTAGTAATTATAAGATAGTTTACCTGAGGTGCAGTGAGGTTATATCCAGCAGCAATATGAGCCAAGAATGTAATAATGGCAGCAATGATGGGTACAGTGGGAGCCATGGCTACACTAACACTCTGAACATACGCTGATTTTTCCAATAATCTTCTTTCACAACTACGAATCTCTGAAATACCACACCATTATAAACTAATCTTGAAGATGCAGATTAACACTTATTTTTACTCATTAAAAATATGATAAGAAATGCAAAAACATTGAAAAATTTGATAATGCTCTATTACACATTTCAAACTTACAGGAAAAATCTTCAACTTAATAATATCTAAGTTATGAACATCAAGACTTATTATGACTTATTAACTAAGTTATGAACATCAAGACTTATTATGACTTATTAACTAAGTTATGAACATCAAGGCTAATTGTGATTTATTAATTATGAACATCACAACTAATTATAACTTATTAACTAAGTAATGAACCTCAAGACTTACAGTCAGGGAATGTTTAAATTAATTAATTAATTTCTAAGGAAAGGTAATATAAGAACATTCTAACAACAATGTGACAACATTCTAACAACAATGTGACAACATTCTAACAACAATGTGACAACATTCTAACAACAATGTGACAACATTCTAACAACAATGTGACAACATTCTAACAATAATGTGACAACATTCTAACAACAATGTGACAACATTCTAACAACAATGTGACAACATTCTAACAATAATGTGACAACATTCTAACAATAATATGACAACATTCTAACAATAAGATGACAACATTCTAACAATAATGTGACAACATTCTAACAATAATGTGACAACAATGTGACAACATTCTAACAACAATGTGACAACATTCTAACAATAATGTGACAACATTCTAACAATAATATGACAACATTCTAACAATAATATGACAACATTCTAACAATAATGTGACAACATTCTAACAATAATGTGACAACATTCTAACAACAATGTGACAACATTCTAACAACAATGTGACAACATTCTAACAATAATGTGACAACATTCTAACAATAATATGACAACATTCTAACAATAAATGTGACAAACATTTTAACAACAATTGGGCAACATTCTAACAATAATGTGACAACATTCTAACAACAATGTGACAACATTCTAACAATTATATGACAAACATTCTAACAAAAATGTGACAAAAATTCTAACAATAATATGACAACATTCTAACAATAATGTGACCCAAAATTCTAACAATAAAATGACAACATTCTAAAAAATAAAAGTGACAACATTCTAACAATAATGTGACAACATTCTAACAACAATGTGACAACATTCTAACAACAATGTGACAACATTCTAACAATAATGTGACAACATTCTAACAATAATATGACAACATTCTAACAATAATATGACAACATTCTAACAATAATGTGACAACATTCTAACAATAATGTGACAACATTCTAACAATAAGAACATTCTGACGATGTAGGAACATTTTAACAATAAGAACACTGTAACAATGAGAACATTGTAACAATGAGAACATTGTAACAATGAGAACATTGTAACAATGACAACATTGTAACAATGAGAACATTGTAACAATGAGAACATTGTAACAATGAGAACATTGTAACAATGAGAACATTGTAGCAATGAGAATATTGTAACAATGAGAACATTGTAGCAATGAGAATATTGTAACAATGAGAACATTGTAGCAATGAGAACATTGTAACAATGAGAACATTGTAGCAATGAGAACATTGTAACAATGAGAACATTGTAGCAAGAGAACATTGTAAAAAATGAGAACATTGTAGCAATGAGAACATTGAACAATGAGAACATGTAACAATGAGAACATTGTAGCAATGAAACATTGTAAAAAATGAGAACTTTGTAACAATGAGAAATTGTAACAATGAGAACATTGTAACATGAGAAACATTGTAGCAATGAGAACATTGTAACAATGAGAACATTGTAACAATGAGAACATTGTAGCAATGAGAACATTGTAACAATGAGAACATTGTAACAATGAGAACATTGTAACAATGAGAACATTGTAGCAATGAGAACATTGTAACAATGAGAACATTGTAGCAATGAGAACATTGTAACAATGAGAACATTGTAACAATGAGAACACTGTAACAATGAAAATATTGGAATAATGAGAACATTGTAACTATGAAAATATTGTAACAATGTTCACATTGTAACAATGTGAACATTATAACAATGAAAACATTGCAACAATGAGAACACTGTAACAATGAGAACATTCTATGAGAACACTGTATCAATGAAAACATTGTAACAATGATAACATTATAATAGTGTTGCCATTGTAGTTGTAGTGTCAACACTACTTTCACAACAGTGTCAACACTACTTTCACAACAGTGTCAACACTACTTTCACAACAGTGTCAACACTACTTTCACAACAGTGTCAACATTAGAGTGTCAACACTATCTTCAGTACAGTGTCAACACTACTTTCACTACAGTGTCAACACTACAGTGTCAACACTACCTTCACTACAGTGTCAACACTACCTTCACTACAGTGTCAACTCTACCTTCACTACAGTGTCAACACTACCTTCACTACAGTGTCAACACTACAGTGTCAACACTACTTTCACTACAGTGTCAACACTACCTTCACTACAATGTCAACACTACCTTCACTACAGTGGTCAACACACTTCACTACAGTGTCAACACTACCTTCACTACAGTGTCAACACTAGCTTCACTACAGTGTCAACACTACCTTCACTACAGTGTCAACACTAGCTTCACTACAGTGTCAACACTAGCTTCACTACAGTGTCAACACTACCTTCACTACAATGTCAACACTACCTTCACTACAGTGTCAACACTACCTTCACTACAGTGTCAACACTACCTTCACTACAGTGTCAACACTACAGTGTCAACACTACCTTCACTACAGTGTCAACACTACATTCACTACAGTGTCAACACTACAGTGTCAACACTACCTTCACTACAGTGTCAACACTACAGTGTCAACACTACTTTCACTACAGTGTCAACACTACGTGTCAACACTACCTCACTACCAGTGTCAACATACTTTCCTACAGTGTCACACTACCTTCACTACCCAAAGTCAACACTACCTTCACTACAGTGTCAACACTACAGTGTCAACACTACCTTCACTACAGTGTCAACACTACAGTGTCAACACTACCTTCACTACAGTGTCAACACTACCTTCACTACAGTGTCAATACTACAGTGTCAACACTACCCTCACTACAGTGTCAATACTAATCTGGGCAAACTACCACAAGACATTACTAAAGTAACCTTCAGACTACATAACGAGACAGCAGTTAACAACTTTATAGCAGCTATGAATAACATCGATTGGCAAAATGAGCTCGAAACATATACAGATATGAATGAATGTATAAATAATTTTCTAAAAAAAGCCCAATGCCTCTATAACAGACACTGCCCCAGAAAACTAAACAGATCACAGCAAAGAGACTGAATAATCCCTGGCTAACACCAAGCATCCTCAAATCCATTAACACAAAGCACAAATATGAAAAACAGTATAGAATGGGTCAAATAACTAAAGAACAGTCGAGAAAATTACTCGTCAGCACTTACCAGCCTGATAAGAAGGTCAAAAAAATTGAATTATGAAAATAGATTACATAACATCAAAGGTGATACGAAAAAACCTGGAAAACTATCTGAAATTCTTGGAACTAAAAAGTTATCCAAAAACAAAGCAATCAAACGAACAAAATCAGATGAACTCCTACTCACTCCAACCGAAACAGCAAACAGACTTAATGTTTTCTTCTCCACCATAGGAAAAAATCTAGCAAACAAAATACCAAGCACAAATGCCCATCCATCAGACTACCTCATGGGAACCTACCCAAATACGCTATTCCTAGCTCCAACCAACCCACTGAAGTTACGCTCATCATAAACACCCTTAAAAACAAGGCAGGAGACATAAACAACTTGCCTGCTTTTATGTGCAAAAAAGCTTCTTAAGTATTGTCACCAATTATTGCAACGCTCTTTAACAAATCCATTGAATCATCTACCTTCCCAACAATCCTCAGAATAGCGAGGGTCACTCCGATCCATAAAGGAGGTGACCAAGCTGACTTGAATAACTATAGACCAACATCTAACTTACCACTGCTATCTAAAATCTTTGAAAAATTAATTCATAGACGGATCTATTCCTACCTCGTTTCACACAACATAATAAACCCTTGTCAGTTTGGATTCAGAAATAATAAAAGCACAAATGATGCTATCATACACATGCTAGAACTAATATATACTGCACTTGAAAAGAAAGAAGTCCCGCTGGGCATTTTCATTGATTTACGTAAAGCTTTCAATACAGTCGACCATGAACTACTGTACTCCAAATTAATGCACTATGGTATCAGAGGCCACTCCCTCAACTACCTAAAGTCATACCCTTTGTAAAAAGAAAATCAATATGTGTATGCAAATGATGCAAACTCCTCCACCCACCCAATCACAGTAGGAGTCCCACAGGGAAGCGTCCTTGGACCATTCCTCTTTCTCATTTACATCAATGATCAACGGAATGCATCACAGCTACTCAAACATTATTTGCAGATGACACTACATATGTATTTTCCCACCCAAATGCAGTCATACTAGCAAACACAGTCAATGCTGAATTACAGAAAATATCTGCCTGGATGATGACTAACAAACTTACCCTGAACACTGATAAAAACCTATTTCATTCAGTTTGGAAACAAAGCTGCAAATGATCCAATTAACATAACGCTAAATGGATCATCAGTCGCAAGACTCACAGAGGGAAAAATTCCTAGGTATCCACCTTGACAGTAGCCTTAAGTTCCCGGGCACACATACAAACAAATACAAAGAAATCTCCAAGACTGTAGGCATATTTTCAAAGATAAGGTACTACGTTCCACAATCAGCTCTCTTGGCACTGTACCATTCACTCATATACCCTTATTCTACATATGGGAAATTTTTGCATGGGGATCAACAACATCCAATCACCTAAAACCCCTAATAACCCAGCAAAAAGGGAGCCCGTAAGAATGATAACAAATTCC